TTCTGCTTCCCTGAACTGCAAGCTCAAACAAGGTAGGTACCCTGTCCTATAGTCGTTTTTGTGTCTGTCCATTAAGGTTCAAAAGTCGTGGGTTCCTCGGCTCATTCCTTCAGATTTAATAGTCCTGAGTTTTCTCAATCAACACGAGTAACATTATATGTAGTGGTAATTTTTCTTCTGAAGTTCAGATATTGAAGGCAAGGACGACATTTCAAGTTGTAAGCACAAAGCTTTGCGAAAGTAAATATGAGAACATGTGATGGGGTCCGAATATGGTTCACATTGCCTGAACGACTGGTCATATTCGCCTTTGGTATTTCGTCATTTGCCCGAACGACTGGTCAAATTATAAAATGCATGCGACTCAGTTGAGTATTTGAAAATGCAAATGACGAAATACCAAAAGTGAATATGACCAGTTCTTCAGGCAATGTGGACCATATTCGGACCCACCCCTTCGCACGTTCTCATCTTTACCCTGGCAAAGCTTTGTGCTTACAACTTGAAATGTCGTCCTTGCCTTCAATATCTAAAATGCATTTTATAATAACATTTAAATTATAAATAAAATACTAACGTTTTATAATATAATTGATTAAATTATAAATAAAATATTAATATTTAAAAGATAAAACTAAATAAAAATAAATAACCATATTAACATTTAAATTATTAATATTATAAATAAAATATAAATGATTAATATTTTAAAAATAAAATAAAAATAGATAATCATAATAACAGTTAAACACTATAACTTAAATATTCGTATTTTATAATGTTAATGATTAGATTATAAATAAAATATTAATATTTTAAAAATAAAATAAAATAAAATAATCATATATATATATATGATAAAGGGTATTTTTGTTTTTCATTTTCTATTCCTTTTTTATTCCAAAGTATTAATATTTTAATCATAATAACATTTAAATTATAAATAAAATATTAATTTTTAAATTATCAATTATTAATAGTTAAGTCAATTATAAATTATTGATATTTGAAAAATAAAATAACAATAAATAATCATAACAACATTTAAATTATAAATAAAATATTAGTATTTTATAACGTTGATGGTTAAATTATAAATAAAATATTAATATTTTAAATAAAATAAAAAATATTCATATATAAAAAATAAAATAAAAAATAATTAATCATAATAATATTTAATTATAAATAAAATATTAATATTTTAAAAATTTAATGATTAATTTATAAATAAAATATTTGTATTTAAATGGTAAATTATTAATATTATAAATAAATTATAAACGATTAATATTTAAAAATAAAATAAAAATAAATAA